TTACAGCAATCATTCTGAATTCAGTAGGAAATAAGTAGAGATCAGATTGCAGCCAAAACACAGCTGGATCTATAAGCTGTAAATCAGATTGTTAACTTGCTACATAGAAATGAACACATGTGGATACACACACCTGTTGAAATAGCCCCTTGAATAATGGTCATATTTCCTATTTGATTCCAATAAAGCAAGTCTATAAGACTGCAGGCCTAAAGCCATGAATCAGCCCAGCTGAAAGCAGCTGCCACGCCTAGGAAGCCAGAGTTAATGGCTCATGTCTAGCTTTTAGTCTAGATAATTTAGCTTTCTGGCTGGGGCCTCCAAAGGATGAATATAACCAAGGCCATAGAACAGTTTGGAATTGAAAAGAGTTGCTGAACTTCTACATCTTCTATAAGCTCTGCCACTTTTGCATAAGTTCTGGAGGGGGGGGGGGGAGAGAAAAAAAGAAAAAGTTCCTTTCTTGTTACAGAACAGATTTTGGATGAACAGCTAAAATCACAATTGAATGACACCAACAATACATTCTAAAACAAAGGCTTTCAAAATATGATTTAAACAGGGCTATTTTATGGGTTTCCTATGTATCGTATTAAACATGATATATTAAAAGAAGAGCAGACGAAAGGCATAGGGCTTACATTATGACACTCTGCCATCTTGCTAGTTTGACCCCTCTCCCCACAGATGCTACCACCTGCCATTCTCCTTGCAACTCTTGGAGGGCAATTTTTTTTTAACTGTGGTCCCTGACACATATATAAAATGAAAGGCTAGCATGCCGCCCAGCATTGCTTTTTAATGAGATAGGTGGTGACAAATTTGATACATACATACATACATACATACATACATACATACATACATACTTTTTTCTGGAGAAAAGAAATAATAAATCCATGGTATGTCCCCAGTGGTGGTTCTACAAGGGTAGGTAAGGTTGCCACACTTGCAAAGAAAAGGGTTTTGAGAACTGATGTCTCTGAATGCCTGTGGACTTCCCTCTGGGTGTATGGAAGGGAAGATCCACATCACCCTGGGGAAACTTTTTGAATTACTATAGGATTGCAGGCTAAATTTAAGTTGGAGCCTGCTAATTGCTAGTGTGATCTTCTAATTGCACATTTTACTTCTTAATAGCTAATCTTACTTCTTAATTGTTCATTATTTTTCTACATTTGCATTAGCATTTCATTACATCTTTCTATTTCTTTGATTCATCGATGCTTTACTTTCACGAACACTTTATTTCATTTCTGCATTTGTTGATTGAAACGTTTCCATTGTGTCCTTCAACAGTGGTGCTCAGGATGCTTTAGTAAAACAACAAAACAATAAAACAACATCACAAGACAATGAAGAGCACCAATATTAATGTTAAGTAGCCCAAACTGTTTAAAGCATTTCAAACGCCTGGCATAATTGAGGCATTCCTCTAGCACCAAGAACATAATACAAAAAGCACCATATGAGATTGGTGGGAAATGGGAAGAGTTTGGCCTAATTTAAGAATGCTTTTTTCTACTTGTCATAACCCCACCAGAGGTGAGTATTTGTAGGTGACTTCAGCATATGGGAAGTTTAATTTGTTCTAGTATCATTCCCTTATGTTCTTGTAAACCTTATTACTTTTTTAAGCATGTTCATTCTATTTTCATATTATTAATTGCATGATTCAGAGGCATCCTAGGCAGATAAGGTCTCCTGCCTGTTTCTTCAACAACTTTTGTTGAATTTAATGAATTTGCATTCGAGTGTTTTTAGAATGGATTTTTTTTAACTTATTTATTTACATGTTGGTCCAAGGATGTGCATGAACATCCTGTCTTTCATTGGACCATTATCTCTCCAGAGAACTGAAACCTTCCTGGTTTCCTGTGTTACTATCAGTCCCAAGGGAGGATGTTGTAAGAGAACTCTTTCCATGTTGGGCTTTTTTAGTTGTAGAGCTAGTAAGTGAGAGTCCTGACCCTGAAAGCTTGTTAGAAAATATGTTCTCTAACAAATTTGAAGAAATCATCCATACAAGTGGACTGGGGAATTTCAAAAAGTCCAGGTCTAGTTCAAATAGTAAATGAAATATGAACATTTAAGTGGTATTTAAAGGGTTTAATAATTTTTTGAAGCCAACCACAGCTGAACTGGTGGGACAGCTCACCTACTATTACTATTTTTACATCTTTCACTTCAAAAACAGCAATATTTCCTGTTAGCTTAGAATCTGTGTGTCTATGTCAATCTGATATTCATTCATTTTTCCATGTTTAGGGTGTAGAATGATTGAATGATCCTGAGAATCTAGCTCCAGTCCTGAGAATCTAGCTCCAGTCCTATTTCCCTCTGTGACCTACTCTTATTTTTCCAGAGGAAGCTGTTCAGTATAACACTGCTGGCACAATGCTGGCATGTTAAAAACAAACATATATAGGAGCAGTATCTTTGAAATTCCATCTAATCTGGGTTAGATGAAAGCAGAAGTTTTCCACATTTTTTTTAAACTGATGAGATATGATAAAAGGCAATGGTAAGAACTTGGATACTCTTTTTTTCCATCTGAAGAGATGGGGTCAAAGAGACCTAAAAACACATTGTTTTTATCATTAAAAAAAAAAAAATCCTTGGTGATTAGAAAAATAAAGAGTGTTGTGCTAAACTGGAGACCCAAATTGCAAATGAAATGGTTAGCTGTCACAGGGAACAGTGTCTCCCTTTTATGTTTGCATGATCTGTGAGGTCAAGTTCCCTGAGAACTAGTTACTTGTTCAAGATCAGCCAGCTAGCTTTCTACCTGTATAGAGATGAAAACCTGGATCTCCCCAGTCTAAATGCAACCTGTTATTGATGGGAAATGAATCAAGCCAAAAGGCCAGATTGTTTTTATCCCATCCCTATGTATGTGTTGAGCCAAATGAGGTGCGGACGAATGGATCCCAGGTCAGAGTTGGCAGTCATGTAAGCATGCAACCACCAGCCAGCTTCAAGGCCACCAAGTGTCATGCCAAGTATCCATTAATTCAGAAGGATGGGAGGTAGAACCCCTGAGAATATCAAAGCATTTTACATCTGGCACTAGAAATGGGCAATTATTTATTGGGTATGGCTTCATTCTTGTCTGGCATAAGGATTCTAATCAAGCCAAACTGTGTTTGAGGTCTTTCAGTCAAGTTAAACCAAGGAACTGAGATAAACCAAGAAGTGTCAGAAGATCTGGAACTTAATGCTGGGCTTTGATTAAGAAGCCCGATACCCAGTCAACTGTATGGTGGAAGGAGGTGGGTCTTTGGGGAGGGAAAGCTTCTCCCTTTCTCCCAAAGCCCCACATTGAAATGGAAAAATCATGGATCAGTAATAGAGACTGTTTCATCCCTCAGTCTGGAGAAAGGAGAAGCCTTTCACTATGCAGATGAGTATGGATGATAATAATAATTCTCACAATTTCCCATGCTGGAAAAGGCAAGGAACAAACATTCCTTGCTTTCCCTTGCATTGAGAAAAGCTCTGCAGGTAATCTCTGTTTCCAGCATAGACTGCCTTCTTGCAGGAAGCATAAAGAGTATTCCTCCATGTAGAGGAAAGGAAAGCAGAAATGAAGAAAAGATGTTCCACATACAGACAGGGAGCTAATTTCTTCATCTTATCTAGACCATCTTTCTTTATGTAAAAGAAGGTAGAAAGCAATTGTACAACTCTTTGGGGAGAAGAGCTTCTTTTTAGGCTTTGATGTGCTAGAGGCAAATATCTCCACACTGCTCCATGCTGTAAAAAGAAAGAAAGAAAGAAAGAAAGAAAGAAAGAAAGAAAGAAAGAAAGAAAGAAAGAAAGAAAGAAAGAAAGAAAGAAAGATCAGATGTATATGTGGTGTGTGTGTGTGTGTGTGATCTGCTTTTCCGACCAATTCCAATTAACTGAGCCCACCCGCAATGCTCTTCAGAATGGAATTACTTTATCAAAACCTTGCCAAGACATCATTTTCTGCCAGTGAAGTCCCCAGCTCCATTACTTATTAAGCGAATTAGAGTGCATGTATGTGTGGTCCCAAATCTGTCTGGCTACTACAGACCTTTGCTTATGAAGACTCTAGCTTGTCCTTCAAATCTCTGAGAACTATTTTGCGATAAATGCTTTCCAGCTTCCTTATCCTTAACTCCCTTAAATATGGTGTCTGAAAATGTTTATATGGATTAGCTAGGTAATCTAGTATGAAGCACAAGTTGCAAACCAAAGTGAAATTGAGTTCCCAACTGACTGGGGAAAGAAATTAATGATTTAATTGCACCACTTTTAGCAGATCTATAATGCAACTTAAAAGCTAATTGAGAACTGAACAGCCTGAGGAGAGAGTGAAGCCTTGGTGTTGGCTGTCAAGTTCAGTCAGAGAACCGTCTGCTCAGGGAGCTAGCTAGGTAGAGGGTAGGGTGAGGGCCCCTCTGCAATCTTTCAATCCATATGTGACTGTCTGTGGCCAGTTGATGAATGTGGGGGCTTCACAGCGTCCGAATGACTCACCAGACCAGTTCATCCCTAGCCATTGTCTCCACGCCCCATCAGTTAGTACCCTGTGC